TGTAGTACTGTAGTACCGTAGTACCGTAGTACTGTAGTACTGTAGTACTGTAGTACTGTAGTACCGTAGTACCGTAGTACTGTAGTAGTGATACTACTGCAGCTTCCGGTAAAACGTTTTTCCAGAGGTTGTGATGACAGAAGGGGTCAGAGGTCAGATGGGGTTTCTCCTCTCTACAGTTGCTCGTCTCCCAGCTGAACATGTCTGCCTCCAGTAAGCCTCAGCTCAGGAGTCTCTGTGTGAACTGGTTAAACTGGTGTTTGTTGTCTTCCAGTTGTCCCGTCCAGTCCCAGTATGGCCGTGTCCAACTGCAACTCGTCTCACGGAGTCTTCTCCTTCTCGGCCGCCGTCAAACAGAAGAGCGCCTTCGCTCCGGTGGTGCGGCCTTCAGCTTCGCCTCCGCCTCCGCCCAACTGCTCAGGCGGGAACGCCAACGGACTGCAAGGTGAAGCCCCGCCCCTTTGCTCCCACGCCGACCCACGTCTCCAACCTCTGTAAAACTGTATCTGATGTCTTTGCATTGAGTCAAACACCGTGCCAGACCATTTTCACCAGTTCGGTCCTGAACTGGTTTATTTGAAACCAGTAAACACATCTGAACCAGTTAATTCCTCCGAACCAATCAGGTCATTTGTCAACCAATCGCAGCGCTTCGTTTTTAGCGCAGGGTTCGGCTCCATCAGGACGGCTTCGCCGCCATGTTTGTAGTTTTCTGGTCCTGTCCAATCAAACGTCTGCGGTTTCCTCTGTAAACAGAGTCCTGTTAGAGCTGCATGAGAGAGACGGGCTGCCATGTTTTATTCAGTCAGAGTCACAGATACACCGTCTGAACACACACACACTCACACACACACACACACTCTCACACACACACACTCACACACACACACACACACACACACTCACACACACACACACCGAACCGGCTCAGTGTTCAGTGTGTGATGGCAGTGTTTTTGACAGAGAGGTTTGTCCATCCTCAAATATTCATGCAGCACTCATGCGTGTGTGTGTGTGTGCATTTTTTTGTAATACCTTGTGAGGACCATTTTCCTGACACATACTGTGTTGTGGGGACCACTGCTCCTTGTGGGACTGAGGCCTGGTCCCCACAAGGGGAAACGCTGTTTTTGGGTCAGGGTGAGGACTAAGGTGTGAATTGGGTTTTGGTTGGTTAGGGTTAGGATGTAGAAATGAATGGAAGTCAATGGAAAGTCCCCACAAAGATAGCCACACAAACGTGTGTGTGCGTTAGTGTGTGTGTCCACTTGCAGATCTGCAGTGTTACTTCTGAATGAAGCCAGTTTGAACAGTGATAAAAGCTGCAGTAGAAGCAGACATTTGTAATTAATATTTATTGTCACCGTAATTATTAAAAAATAATAATCATTATTATAATTATTATTATTTTCTATGAGATATTACCTTAATTTTGTTTTTTTATATATTTATTGTACTTTATGTTTGTGTGAACCAACACACGGTTACACCTGAATTTCTCCACTGTGGAATATTAAAGCAGATTTATATTCTATTCTGCTGTTATTATTCTCACTATAATTAGTTGCGTAAAGCAGCAGGGGATGCAGTGGAGCTGCAGGAGGAACATGGTGCTGGGAGGCGGGGCTAACACAATGACATTATGAAAAATTTAAAAATAAACAAACTTACAGAAAAACAACACAAAAAGCCAAAGCAAAACACAAACCAGAAATCCTGGGAAACGATCACAGGAGTAGACGAGAGGATCCGGCAAGGAGAGACTGAGAATGAGAAGCTTAAATACTGGAGAGGGTGAATGCTGAACAAAAGACCTGGGCTATGAGCTACCTGACTACAGGTGGAGGAGGGGAGAGTGGTACAGGGGAACAAGAAATAAATCTAACACTAAAGAAACATAACGAACTAGAGTAACAAAGAATAACTATAAACATAACTAGAAATGCTAAGACTGACTTAAAGGAAAACCGGAACAAGACAGAACTAACCAAAAGAAGAGCACAAAATAATAATGAAACTAGAAGCAAATCAAACTACCAAAACATCCCAGAATCCGAACAGATAATGAACAATAAATGTTTTTATTTTATAACGTTTCTTCTCATGAGACGTTTCTTCTTGTGTTTCTGCAGCCATGTCTGGACTCGTCGTTCCTCCGATGTAGATCTTTCCTCACCGCCCTCCTCACCCTCAGCCTCGAGCAGCAATCACCTCAGAGGGGGAGGGGCCAGTGGTCCCTGGAGGCGGAGCATCAGGCAGCTGCTGACCAATCAAAGAGCTGATCCTGTTCTGATTGGACAAAGCCCATGAAAAAGACTTTTAGTGCAGCATTTTTCTGCAGGTGCTTCAACCTTCTGTTCTGCTCTGATGTCTAGTCTGTTAATGTACGCCTGTGATGTCACACCTGGGATGTGACATCACTTCCTGTACCTGGGTGGGCTTGGTACTTATTTTTTTAAATGACAGATTAAAGGTAAAGCCCGCTGGGTTTATCTGATATTAGCAGGTGTTAGCTGTGTGATGCTGAAAGTGGGTGGAGCTAATAATATTCAGAGACCTCATCTGGACTCAGCGGGTCCATCCTGGTTCTGATCATCTTATTTAAAACCTTTCATTTTTATTTAAATAGAGTTGTGCTAAAGCACAGTTATAAAAAAGCCCTCTGATAGTGTTAACTCTGCCCAATGCCTGCTTTTTGATGGCTACACTGTAAAAACTAACCCTGCATATTACCCTGAATAGCCACTGCAGCCCCTTTCACACTGGGTTCTGTGATTTTTGCTGAGTACTCCTTTGTGACTGCTGTGGTTGATGACACGCCCCTCCGACACCATGGCAACATGTTTTTGTATCATATCAAGATCTAGATATTTATATCAAATTGTTTTTAGTATCGATGGATGTTTGTCATGTCGTCGTGTTGCTGCCACACCAACAGCCCTGGTTTTATATCACGTGTTTATAGAGCTGCACCTGTTTGTTTTTAATGTGAACCATGTTGTAATTTCTCCACAGTGAATAAAGTCAGCAGGTCGCTCTGACAGACTGTTTCTTTCCTTCCCTGAAGGGATCAGTCTAATCCCTGGAGAACAAGGCAGACGGATGTTCTGTCCAGGTCAGCGTACAGCCTGTGCATATTATTATTTGGGAAGGAGTGAAAATGTTACAGGAAAAACTGGATGCACACAACTCTGACCACATGACCGCCGTCGGCCATCTTTACCATCCTGACAAGAACCAGCGCAGGAAGTCCCGGTCTCTCCTCGTTTCTCCTTCCTGTCCTTCAAATGCATGTTCATGTTGAAGGTCAAAGGTCGTCGTGTGTCCCACATTTGCTCAGCCCATTTTGGGTCTCGTTTCTGCCCTTACACAAAGTCCGTGTCCGGACGGACTGTGGCGAAGTGCATTACCCATGATACATTGCTGCATGTGACGTTTTGAGTTGAAAGACAAACTTATGGCAACGTTTTACTTTCATGTTTCCTGTTTTTAAATTCAAAGTATTATATAACAAGGCACACATTAGTAATGAAAAGTTTGATATGATAAGCTGAGCAGAAAAAAATAAATAAAAAATAGTCACACTGACAGTAAAATAAAACAAAGACAAATTTCAATCTTAAATGAAGTTAACATATTTAACATTTAATCGCTCTCTTAAATAAAACTATTTCACTTTAAAAATGGAGGTGATTTTTAGAAAGCAGTATTTATGAATAAAACTTAACCAGAGGATTAAACTCTTTGTCCCTGTTAGATCAGATTTTATTAGGTTAAAACTTAAATATAGAGTAGATTTCTTGTGCAATATCCACTTCTGAAAATCTTTCTTAAAACATTCAAGAAGTTGCAACTGAAAAAAGGTTTATCGTCTCAAAATCTCAGTCATAAAACTGAGAAATCTCAGTCACAATAAATTTTCAATAATTGGAATTTCTTCTGCAGAAAGTCATTATAGAAGAAACTTCATACATAATTATAAAATTGCCATCTTATATTTTTTGTGGCAGTGGAATTGATAATATAATGATAATTGTATCATAATTTATAAACAAAACTTTTCTTCTCGGACTAGAGGAGAAGAAAACTGATGTCGGAGCTCTGATGAATTTATTGTAACATTTTTGGTTCATAAAGTCACAACATTCATAGCTTTTTTTAAAAAAGGACATTTTAGTTCCATTAGTCTTATTTTTCAAATGTTGCATCAGGCGTTTTTTCTATTTCTTTATACTGTATGTTTGTCCTTAACTTGATCTTTGTTATTAGCTCCACTTTATACCAAACTAACCTTTAGCTGCATAAAAGAGATGGTTTTTAGTAACAGCTGAATATGTAATCACATCTCTAATTAGTCAAATGTTATTGAATATTTTAATGTGTATTTTGGTGCCATTTTGGAAATGTGGCAATGTTCACAGAACAAAAAATGACCCAAAAAACATCCGTTTTCAAAAGTGAAGTCTTGAAATAATATTGTTTTTCACTGAACATGTGTGAATACATCAAAAGAGGTCAGTTCTCATGTGGTCCAGATGCAAATAAAGTGCTGCAATCGCCCTTTATTGAAGTTTCACACATCACAAACTTGGTTTTAAATATTCTGCTATTAGAGCAGAACAATCCAGTCCAGGTGTTGGAGTTTTTTAACTAGAGTAGCTAAAAGACACTGGAGCTGGTGAAAGATTAGGTGGAATCGCTCTTTAGCCATTTCCCGAATCGGAAGCTGCAATCGAAGACCAACGTCAGCTTCGTGTCTCTGAGGACAATGTCCTCATCTGGGACGTCTCTGTAGGAAACACTTTGTGTCTCTCGTTTGGACTCTACCATCACTACCGGCCTTTTCACCCAAAACAAAAAAAATGCCCAATTTTTCAAATATTTCGCAGGATCTTGATAAAGTAAGTCAGGATTGTTTTTTTTTTTTCTCTTCTTGTCCCCTTAGCTTATTCTAGCGTACGCATTGCGTACTGTGACTATTAATTTATTTATGTAAAATTTAATATTGGAAAAACAAAATTATTAGAAAAAGTGTTTCTTCTGTCTGAGTTTATTTTTTATTTATTCGCTGCGAAAGCCTATTGGAATCAGGATTTCTTATTCTTATTTTTCCGCCACTTTATGTAGCTCCTTCGTGCCTTTAACATATTCAAAAACTCACCAAACTTGACCCAAAATTGTCCCCAGACGAAAATTTTCGGATTCCAGTGGAATCGCAAGTGGGCGTGGCCAAACTGCTCTACAGCGCCCCCTACCATGAGATGGGGAAACCGTAGGTCGTAGAGATCTGAAACTCGGTACATAAGTAGATCCCACCGAATCAAGAAAATAAGTCTCTTGGAGCGGTGAACTTGGCGTACTCGCCAAAATAAACGAAACACTTTCACATAAAAAGGTCAATTGGCACCAAACTTGGCATGAGGGATCCTGGTTGGATGGCTGACGATCCTATGTCGTCATCGTCTGACATCACTTTAGCCCCGCCCCCTTCCAACAGGAAGTCACCTGTTTTCCTACTATTTTTCTTCCTTTTACTCTCTGGTTCATGCAGATTTCAACCTGTGTTTAATGAAATCAAAGAGAAGAAAATGAGACCAGTTAGGGGTGTTTAGCCCCTCCTGGACGTCAGCTTTCTGTGATCAATCGTTAACCATGAGACATAAGGTGCAGGAATTAGTTCTGATATGTTATTTAGTTGTGGTTTTCTTTCGTGAGTGGTTCTCACGGGTTGTCAACACCAGAATAAATCTTGTTTTATGTTTTACATCATGCGTGAATCCCTGAGGACTCTACAGTAGTTTTTACAAAGTTTAGTTAAGATGCAGAATTTGCACATAACATTATATTTTATCTGTTTGGTGACATAATAAAATACCAAATAAGTAGCATTTTTATCAAATACTTTTACACTTTCAGCTTTTGTGCAGGTGGAGTTAAGGTTCCATACTGACATCCTTCTCCTTTGAAATGAATAAAATTCTCTTATTTCTGCTGAGCTCACAGCGAGGAACAGAAATGATTGGTCACAACAGAAAGAGGAGTGATGGCAGGCAGCAGGCGAAGATGATGATGACGAAGATGCTGCCGGAGGTCGCCAGGTCAGGGTCGAGTTTCTGTGTGGTTCTGCAGTCGGTTCCAGAGTTTACTGGATCCTGGATGTTTCACCTCTTTCCTTCCAGATGCTTTATTTCCGTCACATTTTGATTTTTCATTTTTAGAAACTCCAGGGATCAGAGGCATTTTGCTAATCTGAGCAGAAAAGCGTTTTCTGGTGACTCATGCAACCTTACATGTCATTTTCTTTATTTTCTATCAATAAACAACGTGGTAATTTCATTTTACAATTTATAAAGATATTAAATTAAAAGCCTGTTTAGTCCGGGTCAGAACCGGCCATGAGGACTCATCAGCTCCGCAGGTTTATTTCTGCATTTAGCCACCACAGCGCCCCCTGCTGGGCCTGCTGCAGCTGATGGATGTCATGTGATCGATCAGCTTCCAGCTCAGCTCATTATTAAAACACAGAGACCTGAAATAAATGTCCGTTCACACAAAGGCACAAACAGGAAGTGATTAAGATGAGTCACGATAACAAGAACAGCTCATTACAGCTTCCTGTCGGATTCACCTGAACCTGAGGAAGACAAGTGATGAAGAGCTGCTCTGACCCAAAAACAGCCGAGAGTGGAAGCTACAGGAACCAGAACCAGAGCCAGAACTGGTCCACAGGATTTCCATGTGCCTTCTTCTGCAGACCGCAGAGCTGGAAGGGAACAGATCTGGTTCTCTGTTGGAACTACAGCATCGAGATATACACCACTGACCCCTGACGTAGATCTAGAGCTGTTTCTAGATGTGCCCTGATGAGCCGCACCGTTTGAGGACAGGAAGTGGTGGTTGCCATGGCAGCAGGTTTTAAATCAGGTAAAGCAGAAAGTCTCTCAGATTGTTTTCAGTTAGTTTCACTAAAAGTTTCTGATTGGTTCTGACCCGGTTCTGCTCTCATCAGGTGGAGTTCAATGAGCCCACAGGGGGCGCTGCGCTGCCAGACTGATGCTCTCCATTACCGCTGATCAATAGATCAGCTATTGATCGAGCCTGTATTGATCACTCTGTGCATGTGTGTGTGAGATAGAGACAGTCAGCGTGTCACACTGTCCCGTCCAGCTCGTTAGCACACCTGTTCCCTCCTTAGGGATTTTAATTGGATCGTTGAGAGTCACCTGACCTGTCTTAACGAGCAGAGACAAACTGACAGGTTCTTCAGGTGAAAACAAAGTTTCTCTCTGGAGATCAGCAGCTAACTGTTGCTACTGCTGCTGTACGGGGGAATATTTCTGCCATATTTCAAGAGCACACTTCTTCTTAAAACTTGTAATGCTAATGCTTGAACTCCAAACTTATGCTCTCTCAAATATTCAATCTTTCTCAAACCTTTCTCCTTGCGCTCGTCTCTCTGCTTGAAACAGAAAAGTACCGTCACTTGGCAACCTCTCAGCCAATACAATGCAAGTGTTACACTGGGTGAGTTTGTTTCCTTCTAGCACAGTGTTTCTCCACCCTGGTCCTCAGCCCCCCTGCTCTGCATGTTTTAGATGAGCCTCTATTC